CTTTAACCATTTAGGAGGCTAAGGCAGGAAGACTGCTTGAGCCCAGGAGTTCAAGACCAGCCTGGACAACATGATGAGACTCAGTCTCTAAAAAAAAAAAAAAAAAAATTAGCTGGGCATGGTGGCACTCACTTGTGGTTTCAGCTACTCAGGAGGCTGGGGCAGGAGGATGACTTGGGCACAGGAGGTTGGGGATACAGCGAGTCGTGTTTGGGTCACTGTACTCCAGCCTGGGTGACAGAATGAGACCCCGTCTCAAAAAAATAAAATAGAAAACCCAGTAGAGGCAAAATGAAAGAAAGGTCTTTGGAGATGAAAAATCTTAGATTACAAGATATCTGAAGTCAGCACTTGTTCCATAAATAATAGATTTGGAAAGAACTCTGGATAATCTTAGAGCCAATTTTCTTGCTGTGGAAGTGATAAGAATCCACAGGCTGAAGAGAGGAATGAGTGTCAGGAACTGGTTTGGGGGTCTTGCACTCTGTAATCTAGTTAAACTGTGTGACAGAGGGTCAGTGCCTCCTCCAACTCAGATATTTTGGGCATACAAGGGTGGGATCAAAGAGTGTGCTGTTTCTGGTCTACGGAATATTACAAATTTGAACAAAATACAAATGTTTCTGACAGTTTCTAAACTCTGTTTGCTAAGTACTCAATAGAATGGACTGTCATCCAGGCTGGGTAAGGAGAGATCTTGACAAGGAAAGGAAGGAATCAGGGTTTCATGAGAGACAGGGTTCTGGGGATCCAAGCATCACGATGAGGTCATGGCTAAGTTTTCTCTTGGTTAATACAAAGAAAAGTTGACCTTTACTGCTGTGAAGCAAATTAGAAGCTAGCCTGGGGTGCCTTAGTTTGGTTTCTTCCAGAAGCAGTCCCTGATACAAGGACATGAGTGAAAGTAATTTATTTTGGAGGTGCATGAAACTTCAGTATCAGTTGAGTGAAAGATAGATTGGGAAGGGAAAACAGCCAGCGAAGGATGAATGACTGGAACTTAATCCCCTGGGGAAATTCTGGGAAAGCACATGCTTCAGAGTTAACCCAGCCACGTAAGGAGGGAGTTGGGCAATTGTACATCAATTCCCATTGGCTGAAGGCTGCTGCCTGACATGTGAACTCTTCAGCCCTTCTAGTCTGCTGTGAGTCGGGCAGAGTGGCCCTTCTTGGCTTTGAGGAAGCCTTCAGGAATGATGCAAATGTCCAGCCAGTGTGCACTACAGTGGTAAGGCCCAAGGAACATGGCAGGTATTAGTAGCATCAGCCACACCAGGTCTGTTTCTAGTTGGAGAACCCTTAGATGGGCTGGAGCCTGTGATCTCTTACATCTATAATATCTGTGATCAGAATGGAAGAATTTTCTATTTTCTTTTTTTTCCAATTTTGCCCAAGTCTTCATAAAGTCTTGTTAAAACTTTGACAACAGTCTTATTTTTACGTTCCTTTAATCAAGAATGACAGGCCTATGTCCAAATATAGGAGGATGTATTAGTTTGCTAGGGCTACCATAAGAAATACCACAGACTGAATGGCTTAAACAACATAAACTTGTTGCCTCATGGCTCTGGGGACTAGAAATGTGAGATCAAGGTGTCAGCAGGGTTGGTTTCTTCTGAGGTCTCTATCCTTGGCTGGCAGATGGCTGTCTTTTCCCTGCATCTTCATATGGACTGTCCCCTGTGTATGTATGTCCTCATCTCTTCTTTATATGGATACTAGCTATATTAGGACCTACTTTCATAACCTCATTTTAACTTAATTATCTTTTTAAAGACTCTAACTCCAAAAAAAATTCACATTCTGAGGTACTGGGTTTATTCAACATTATGAATTCATAGGGGGACACGGTTCAGCCCAAAAAGAGGAAAATGGGGCAAAGGGAAAATTCTTCTCCATCTTCTTTCCTGTTCTCTCTCAAAGGCCAAGGGGAGTGAGAGCAACATTGGATCATGGGATCTTGGTTGCCCTGCAACTCAAGAGCTACCTGGCTTCAACATTAGCAGTGAGCAACAGCAGAGCTGAGAACAATGGTATAGAACTGAGTCACACTGAGTCAGGCCACATTTCCCAGGGTAATTTGCAAACCAGAATTCCAGATACAATTTTTATTCACTCAAACTTTCCACTCATGAACTTGTTAAATATATTTTGAAAAACTATGCACATCCTCATACATGTTTTTTAAATTTAACTTTTTTATTTTGAGATAATTAGAGAGTGACATGCAGTTGTAAGAAATAATACAGACAGAACCTTTTACCCTTTAATCCAGTTTCCCCAATGGTAACATCTTATAACACTTCAGTACAGTATTGCAATCAGGATACTGACATTTGTGTCAATGTCGATTATTACAGTCAAGACAGTATTTTTGTCACTCCAAGTATCCCTTATCTTGCCCTTTTATGGTCAGTTCACCTCATTCCCACCCCCATCACTTCCTTAACCACTGGCAACCATGATTTTTTTTTCTCTATTTCTGTACTTTTGTGATTTCAAGCTTGTTAATACAAAATGTTATACAAAGGGATTGTGCTTTTTTTTGCTTTTCAATAAAGTTTATTTTATTTCTTTATTTCTTTATTTTTTGAGACAGAGTCTCACTCTGTCACCCAGGCTGGAGTCCACTGGCACGATCTCAGCTCATTGCAACCTCCGCCTCCTAGGTTCAAGTGATTTTCATGCCTCAGCCTTCCAAGTAGCTGGGATTACAAGCATGTGCCATCTTGCTCAGCTAATTTTTGTATTTTTAGTAGAGATGGGCTTCACCGTGTTGGCCAGGCTGGTCTCGAACTCCTGACCTCAAGTGATCCACCTGCCTCGGCCTCCCAAAGTGCTGGGATTACAGGCGTGAGCCACCATGCCCAGCCTGGATTGTGCTTTTGATGTCAAGCCTATGAATTCTTTGCCTGGCCCTACATCTCAAAGATTTTCTCCTATTTTTCTAAAATTTTAATAGTTTTACACTTTACATTTACTCTGTAATCCATCTTTTTTGTTTGTTTATCTGTTTTTAGAGATGGGATCTTGCTATGTTGCTCAGGCTGGAGTGAAGTGACATGATCACAGTATGTAGTATGTAACATTTTGGGATTGGCATTTTTCACTCAGTATAACTCTCTGGAGATTCATGCAGGTTGTTGTGTGTATCAGTCATTCTTTTTTATTGCTGAGTATTATTTCATGGCATAAGTGTACAATAGTTGGTTTAACCATTTACCTGTTAAAGGATATCTGGGTTATCTTTGGCTACAATGAGTAAGCAGTTAGACAAACATTTGCATATAAGGTTTTGTGTGAAGGCATCACGTGTGCATGTGTATTTGTGTGTGCAAGTTTTCATTTCTTGGGGCTAAATACCCAGGAATGCAGTTGCTGGGCAGGATGGTAGTAGTATGCTTAGTTCTTGGATTTGTTGTTGTTGTCGTTGGTTTTGTTTTGTTTTTAAGAAACTACCAAATCATCTTCCAGAGTGGTTGTACCATTTTATATTCCCACCAGAAATTATGAGTGATCCACTATCTCCTCTTCCTTGCCAGCATTTAGCATTGTCGCTTTTTTTTTTTTTTTTGAGATGGAGTTTCACTCTTGTTGCCTAGGCTAGTGTACAATGGCACGATCTCTGCTCACTGCAACCTCCACCTCCCGGGTTCAAGTGATTCTCCTGCCTCAGCCTCCCGAGTAGCTGAGACTACAGGCATGTGCCACCATGCCCGGCTACTTTTGTATTTTTAGTAGAGACAGGGTTTCTTCATGTTGGCCAGGCTGGTCTCAAACTCCTGAACTCAGGTGATCCACTCACCTTGGCCTCCCAAAGTGCTGGGATTACAGGTGTGTGCCACCGTGCCTGACCCATTGTCACTACTTTTATTTTAGTCATCCTGATAGATGTGGAGTGATATTTCATTGTGGTTTTAATTTGCATTTCCCTAATGGCTAATGATGTTGAACAACTTTTCATGTGCTAATTTGCCATTTTTATATCCTCCTTGGTGAAATATCACAAGTCTTTTGCCTGTTTCCTAATTGGATTTTTAATGTGTTTTTTTTTGTTGTTGTTGAGTTTTGAGAGTTCTTTATATATTCTAGATACTAGTCCTTTGTTCAATGTATGGTTTGCAAATATTTTCTCCTATTGTGTAGCTCATTTTTTCATTCACTTACTAGATCTTCACAAAGCAACAGTTTTACATTTTGATGAAATCCAATTTATCAGTTTTTCCTTTCATAGATCATGCTTTCGATGTCAAGCCTAAGAATTATTTGCCTAGACCTATATCTCAAATATTTTCTCCTATTTTTCTAAACTTTTAGTAGTTTTATGCTTTACATTTACTCCATAATCTTTTATTTATTTTAATTAATTAATTGTATCTGGTAAAGGTTAAGGTATTGCATTTCTCTGACAATTTTTTTTTTCTGAGACAGAGTCTTGCTTAGTCACTCAGGGTAGAGTGCAATGGTGCTGTCACAGCTTATGACAGCCTTGAACTCCTGGGCTCAAGCAATCCTCCTGCCTCAGCATCCCAAGTAGCTGGGACTACAGGCAGGAGCCACCACACCAACATAATTTTTCATTTTTGTGTATAGACAGGGTCTTGCTATCTTACCCAGGTTGGTCTTGAACTTCTGGACTCAAGCAATCCAATCCAGTTTGAATTAACTTTTGCATAAGGCGTGAGACTTAGGTCAAGGTTCATTTTTATTTTATTGTCTTGCCTATGGATGCCCAATTGTTCCATTTCACCATTGTTCAATTCACCATTTGTTAAAAAGGCTATTTTTCTTCCATTGACTTCTTTTTGCACCTCTTTCAAAAATCATTTGGGCAGACTGTGTGGGTCTTTTTCTACGTTCTGTATTTTGTTCCGCTGATTTGTGTGTCCATTCCTCTGATAGTACCATACGGTCTTGATTACTGTAGGTATATAACAACACTTGAAATAGGGCAGACTGATTTTCAATCACTTTATTCTTCTTTTTCAAGAATGTTTTAGGCGTCGGCGTCGCTCCCGCCCTGGAGCTCTAGGCCCGCGTTTCCCCGCGAGCCGTGGGTCAAGCGCCGGCCGCTAAGGGTGTGCGAGGAGCCTCCACCCGTTCTGCGCTGGACCTGGCGTCGGGGTCGTTGTGTCCTGATAACCACTCCCGTACCCATTTCCGAGGCAGCAGGTGCAGCCGCTTTAGCCCTGAGCCGGCTGCGCATCTGTCTGCTGGTCTCTGCTAATGCCGACCCTTCTAATGCCGACCCTTCTCTTCGCGGATCCCACGCCAAGCAGCGACCCGGAGCCAACAGCTGGAGCACCTGGCAGTGGCGCCCTCGACGGCCTCGCAACGGCCCGTCAAGGGGATCCTGAAGGACAAGACCTCTACGACCCCCTCTGTGGTGGCGTCGGCCGAACCGCCCCGCGGGAGTGTCCACGAGGAGCTGAGCAAACAATCCCAGAAGTGGGATGACATGAACATCCTGGCGACATATTATCCGGCAGACGAAGACGATGGTTTAATGAAAATAGATGAACCAAGCCCTCCTTACCACAGTATAATGGGTGATGATGAAGGTGCATGTAGTGATACAGAAACCACCGAAGCCATGGCACCAGATATCTTGGCTAAGAAATTGGCTGCTGCTGGAGACTTGGAGCCAAAGTATCGGGTTCAGGAACAACAAAGCAGTGGAGAGGAGGATAGTGACCTCTCATCTGAAGAACGAGAAAAAAAGCGACAATTTGAATGAAAAGGAAGCGCCACTACAATGAAGGACTCAATATCAAACTAGCTGGACAATTTCAAAAGACCTACATGATGATGACGGAGATGAAGAAATGTTAGAGCCTGCAGGTGGAGAAAGCATGAATATGGAAGAATCAAATCAAGGATCTACTGTAAGTGACCAACAGCAAAACAAATCACGAAGTTCATAGAAGAGATTTGTTCAACACTGCAATTGTTTGTTAGATATGAACCCAGTTGCTATAATACATTGCTTCTTGTTCTCCACAAATCATGACTTAAGTACCAAAATGCATACCAGTTATTATATATTGCCAGTAATTAAATGATAACCTTAGAGACTGATTAGACCGAAATGAAAATGCCTGATATGTGTGTGTGTATGTGTATATATGTGTGTGTGTGTGTATATATATACATATATATATACACTTGTGCCTAGTACTTTACCACAAATACAGTGTAATACCATCAGTCCGAAACTGTATTGCTTTTGTAAAAACATTGCTTAACTTGTATATTATATAGCTTTTTATACTTTAGAAGTTCAACAATATCTTTGGGGGGGAACTAATTTATTTTCATCATTCTAAATGTGGTGGTAGCTCTTATAAAGTTTGTTGATTTTTTTAAAATCAAAAGCCAATTGAACAACAGGATATATAGGTTGATAAATCTTTAGGCTGAATAGTATTTTAACACTTGTCTTCAACTTGATTTGTCTGTTTAATTGAAAAGGATTGTAAGAGTTACTGTTGCATTTTCTGGCCTACTACCTTTAAAATTCTTGTTGCGTTTCTTTGTGTTTATAAGGAAAGGACTGGACTTTTTCTCGACAAAATTAGCTTTTTATCAGGTTAAACTTGCACTGATGTCTGCTCTTTTTTTTTTTTTTTTTTAAATGTTTTTGGTACGCTGGGCAGACTTCAGTTTTTAAAAAAATAAGTATTGTAATGTAGCTATCTCGGCATTCCCTTTAAATATCTGTCTTAACCTCCTGCTTTTATTTCCTACTCCTTTCCACACATATACACACAATCCATTACCTTTTAAAGGATCATTAGGATTGTCACACATTAGGAAGTCTTTCTCTCATGTCATTTGCGGCAATATTGAAATTCTTATTTTAACCATCACTGTCTATTAATTCTTCTAATACATGAAGAAAATAGATTGAGTAGCAGCAGTACCCCATAGGCAGGAAATACAGTTTAACTGCTGGATTTCTATACCTCTCTGATTTACAGCTTGCTAATTAAATTGCTATTATTAGTTTGTCTGGCTTAATTAGACTTAAGAAAACAACTAACTGAGGGTTTTTGTTTTTTCAGTTTTTTTTTTTTT